TACCTGCTCTGACAGCAGCCTGCGCGGCCCACTGATGCTGTTATTCTGGAGAAATTCTTCATTGGTGCCACAGTCATTTAAGACCCCCAATCCCAGGCTTGTCACATCAGTGTGACACTCTTTACAGATTTCAGCCACTTCTTGGATGTGGGGCTGGAAAAGGTCTTTTTAATCTGAACCCTTCTGAAGGTTAACAGCCACAGGTGGAGCGAGGGAGACAACGGCTATCAGAAACATTTGCAGAGCAATAGCGATATCCAGCCTACGAACAGTTATTAAAGCCAGCTGGCAGGGTAGCTCACAACGTTAGGCCAGCCTGCCAATCTGGGGTTTATCTACCCAAGATAGGTGCAAACAGTGTTCTCCACCTTGTAAAGCGCTTCAGGAATGTCCCAGGTGAGGGACACACATCCATTTAACCATTGCCTTGACTTTTGATAACAAAGTTGAAAGTAGTTTCTTAAGGCTGCAGAGTAGTTCCTGATTTCAGGGGCTTGGAAAGCCAAAAGAAAAGCACTTCTCCGTTAGCACACCCAGTGGGTGAGGACCTGCAGCCTGCATTTCAATATCTCTCCCTGGTATGGGAACAAGAAGTCAACCCCTCACTGTAGCTCAGCCATGTCAGGAAAAGCACCTATGGACAGACAGCAAACTCTCCAGGTAACTTCTGCTTTTGAACATCTGTGCAATTGTATTGATTTCATCAGGGAACTACATATTTACGGATGGAAAGTACCGTTGGATCTGACACGCTGGATAACACAAACCATCTCATCCCACCCCATCCCACCCCATCCCATCCCGTCCCATCCTACCCTGCTCTTCTACTGAGCCAACTAGTGCAGGATAAGGGTAGTTCAGCTCTAAATTAGAGCTTATTATCAAGGCGTGAAGACTGATTGACTGTATTCACTAACTATTAATTGCTTGGGCAAAAATTCAACATCAAATACATGCATTTAAAAATAAACTGGGAAACGTTCCCTTTAGGGGAATGAAAAGTTAGGAGGAACTGGTCAGTAGGTGGCACAAGAACAGCACAGGACTGTGCTACAGCATGGGAGCTGAGCCACCGGGGTTGTATTAGCTAACTGAAGCATTGCACTGAAGCACATAGAGTGAGTGGCTTAAGTGGAAGTTCTCCGTGAAACGCTGGTTACTCCATCACTGAGTACACTCTGTACTCTTGACATCCACTAACACCACTTTCAAGCATTAAATAAGACTGAATTCCACTGTACATCAAAATAGACACCTGGCATGCCAAAGTACAATGCTCTGACATTTAGGATGCTTGTGGTTTGCTAACTTGAAATATGTTGCTTATATTGCAATCGTAGCACCTCAAAGCTTTTAAGAGACATGGGGGAACGTAGCCCCACAGCCGATCCCCTCTGCTGATGGAAAAGGTTCATTAACCGTGCTTGTTTATCAGCGGCATGTGAGGGAAAAAACCAGTAGCGCCACATGTCAGGGCTTGAGGCACCAATCTGTGGCCATCTCTATCTGCAGGAGGTCTCTCTTTCTAGAGAAATAGCAGTGGCCACTAGAAAACCACATTGCACAGGGACACCAGTGACGAGTACCGGATTGAGCGGGTATATTTAACCTTGGAAACTCCAGGATGACTGAAGGCTGTTGCCTTCGCTGGCTGTTGCCAAGGCTTTTCTTGCTGACTGGAGTTATGGGAGCAACATGACGGGGCGCAAACTGGCTCAGCGGTTCCTGTTGCCACTGCGCAACTGCACGTCTCTTCCCCTCCACCAAGAATTTAAAGTAAAATGTAGAAAGACACATGTACTGTGTGTCCTGCCTTGTGACTCTGGCATGTCATCATTCATTTACAGGAAATGAATTGGAGGAAAATTGAAGGGGGGGAGGTAGAAAATGACACGCATAATTAAGCTTTTCTGAACCTCTCCTTTGCACTTTGGTGTCAGATGACTGCATGCAAACCACCCAGAGTGTTATGAAGAAAATAATAATGAATTGGAAGAAATAAAATGTAAAAAATGATGACTTCTGCCCACTCTAAGGTAAAAATATATCTACAAATACCTTATTCTAAGCGTAGGTGTGTCTGTGCTCAAAAAAAGAACATAAAAAGGAGGAGGATACTCCTCCTCCCATCAAATACTGAAGAAAACAAGCTATCATCAGCACAAATATACTTGCCATGGTAATGTATTTTCCTTAAACAAGCAAAATTGAATGCCACATAGCTAGTCTCTTACATTTTTCTTATTTATTTGTCTGTATGATTCTAAAAAGGTAATTATAAGCACTATTTAAGCATAAAATACACCAAAGCCATCATACCTTTCTCATTTCAGAGCTAATTTCTATTTCCAGCCCACACATACCTGCTGTTATATCTCATTTATTGCTGTAAATTATGTGCATCACAGTCACTGCAAGTAACTGGTGACACTGAGATCACAGCTGTGCTGAATTCTAATCAAAAAGTGACTCTTCACCACTTAAAGTTCCCTCAACCCGTATTTCCTTGTTCCTCAAGTAAAAGTGGGTAAGAAGCCTAATTCTGGGATATAATTTATTAAAGACTGGAAATGTGCTGGGATTGCCTAAAGCAGCTGGATACTGGATGTGATGACCCAGGAATCCCTTCCAGTCTGGTACAGCAATGGTTTCAGCAGACCCAAAGCATCATATGATGAGTCCTTGATAGAAACGGAAATAGGTGATGGTGCCCATGCGCATACCAGAAGCATGGTAGTGGAGCAAATAACATGGGTTAGCTGCTCCCTGTTATGCCAGCAGTGTTGTCCACTACAGTACATGGCTAATTCACTCTGACGGGTGTCAAAATGAAGTTATTGCACAATGACTCAAGACTCAAAGCAAATTCTTCATGTTTTTCAAAGTGTTTCTGCACCACCCATTACTTTAATTTCTGGTCAGCTCCAAATGAATAATCTGACATGACTGGTGTCTGGCAAAATGTAATGGGGGTCTGTGGAATTTTGTATCTTCCCTTGACAGTGATTTGTGGGTTTAGTTTTAAATTTCCAGACTGCTTGGGGTTGTCATACTGAATATTGTGTGAATTCCTGGTGTGGATGAGCTATGCATGGGCTTTAACACAAACTTAAGGGGCAAAGAGAGTCCAGAGGAGGACTACAAAGATAATAAGGGGACTGGAGCATTTCCCCTATGAGGAAAGGCTGAGGGAGATGGGCTTGTTTAGGCTGAAGAAGAGAAAACTGAGAGGGAATCTTATAAATACGTACAAATACCTTAAGGGTGGATGTCATGAGAACGGAACCAGACTCTTCTCAGTGGCGCCCAGCAACAGGACAAGGGGCAATGTGCACAAACTGAAGCATAAGAGATTTCAGTTGAACCTGAGGAAGAACTTCTTTACTTTGAGGGTGACAGAGAACTGGAACAGGCTGCCCAGGGGGGTTGTGGAGTCTCCTTCTCTGGAGATATTCAAAGCCCACCTGGACGATGTCCTGTGCAACCTGCTCTAGGTGAACCTGCTTTAGCAGGGGGGCTGGACTAGATGATCTCCAAGGTCCCTTCCAACCCTTGCCATTCTGTGATTTTGTGATTCTGTGAAATATCACTGAGTTTTTTATATTCCCAGTAGGGATTCAAAATAGTACTTTTAGCCCAGACCAGGATGAACCCAACAAACTTTAAAATGAAGCTCAAATGCATCTGCTAGGTTTTATCTATCATTGCAATGAGAGCACAAGATTTACATGCCTGCATCAGACCAAAAAAATCATCGATGGCCCTTTGGATGACCCTACTGTGGGATTCAAATGGCAACAAGACCTGAAAGCCTGCCAACCACCGCTCTCCAGTTAGGCTGGTGCTTGTGGCAGGGCTTGCCACCCTCCTGTCCAACCTTCAGCGTCCAACTTGCCCTCACAGCATGACCTGCCATAGGGAAGGGCTTCAAGGGTCCTGCCAGACAGGACACTGCCTGTGGGTACGCAACACAGCTTGTGCGCTCCAGATCCAATTCTTAGCTTTGCTTTTGCCTGGTAAAGGGTGTGTTGGGGAGGGGTGTACGGTAATCTCTCTTCTTGTTACGTAGGGAACATTGAAGGTGAGAAATACAAATGCATTTGCTGAGGCAAAGCTTATAGGCATGAGATCAGGTGCCTAAATTGTCAACTCATTGGTGGAGAGGCCATTTGGTGACGTTACAGAACACGTGCCTCGCAGAGCAGTGACAGGGTTATGAGTGGCACTCTGGGGATTACTGTAATACCAAAAGTGATATTTCACAGAATCACAGAATCGCACAGAATGGCAAGGGTTGGAAGGGACCTTGGGAGATCATCTAGTCCAACCCCCCTGCTAAAGCAGGATCACCCAGAACATGTTACACAGGACTTCGTCCAGGCGGGCTTTGAATATCTCCAGAGAAGGAGACTCCACAACCCCCCATGGCAGCCTGTTCCAGTGCTCTGTCACCCTCAAAGTAAAGAATTTTTTCCTCATATTCAACTGAAACCTCTTATGCTTCAGTTTGTGCCCATTGTCCCTAGTCCTGTCACTGGACACCACTGCAAACAGACTGCTTCCATCCTCATGACTTCCACCCTTAAGATATTTGTATGTGTTGATGAGATCCCCTCTCAGTCTTCTCTTCTTCAGGCTGAACAAG